CCTGCCTGAAAATGTGAAGCAGCAGTGACATCTTTCTGCTCATGTTCTGCAGGAAGAAGGAACTACGGTCCTAAATAACAAGATGTATTAGAATGCACATGAATGATATTCCATGCAACACGCTGGATGTTATAAGGAGACTTGTCAGAAACAGAAATGTTGAACTGAACATAATTTGGGCAGTGTGGAACCAAATAATGATGCCATCTGGCTCTTCATTATGGGGGGAAATGGCTTAAATATTTTTTTGGAAGTGAAGAAATCGACATTCAGTTGCCAGTCTTGAAGCTAGGCCCTTTGAGATTACTATTAATTTGCAGTATTCTTCTTGCTATTACTCCCACAGTCAAAATCTTTGTAATGACAGCTTACTGGCCTGTGCTTCATGCAGGCAATGCTCTAGGACACACTAGGGTTTCAAGCCCCATTGGAAGGAAGGCAGTAGCAGTAGCCTCCCCACCCCATCCCCAAAAAAGCTACCGTTGTGGCAATGAGGTTTGATTTTGAATGGGCAAACCAAACTAATCTGCTTTTCTTACCTTGTGAGCTGCTTTCAGAGGTCACCCACCCCCCCATTCATATTGTCTTTCTCTTATCAAACTGCCTTGTGAAATAAAATCACAAATTCTTCATAATAGCAGATATACACACACATCACGTTTATTCAACTCAACCCATTCATTTATTTGTCTAAATGTTTTTAAAAATGAGCAAAATGTTTTTTTCCAGGCATGTGAATACCTGTACCAGCCTCAGCCACATGCCTACCAGTTGTAGGAAGTGGAAAGACAGAACCTGTACAGAACTGTACTGCATGGGCACATGCCTTGGCCCTCTTATTCTGGCTCTAGCCAAAATAGTTTGTGATTCTTGTGTTGCACCGTAACAACTTACCTTTGTGAGAAAGTGCTAAAACCAACCTGGCAATATTTTACAGCTGCAGAGATAGGCACTGTATAATTCAAAATCAGTGCATATATTTTGAGTACATAAACACTGGTCAATTGCATTGCTTAAGGATATGGAGCAGCTGCTGGTCCCTGTGTAGGAACTAGAAAAACAGAACTGTGAAGACCATCAAATCATATATATTGTTCCCTTTCTATATGATAAGAAAAAAACAAAAACTGTAGTTCTGTGGCTCCTTTAAGACTAGGAAATTGATGTTCATGTGAGGATTTGTGGATTAGTAATCTGCTTCTGACACCTATCCAAAGAAACATTGTAATATATGAAGATTTATACTAAATTAAATTTGTCAAGGCTTAAAGGTACCAAAAAACATTTGAGTTGCTGCTGCAATGATGTAACTGAGGTAACCTACACAGAGATGGTGGAGAGGAGCAGTGTGCTTTCTACCTTCCCACAGCTTCTGAAGACAAGCAAGATACTCAGACCAATCATTCACAGCCTCTTTTAAATTTAATAAAATAAAACAAGAGCATGTTTCAAGAGTACCAAAACATTTCCTCTGCACAATATCAGCTTAGCAATAAAAAGAATGGGCCAAACCCAGACTTTCGGGTGGAGATGGTGAAAGTGACTCCACTCCTGTATCTAGGTCTGAGAGCAAACTGCTTGTGGAGAAAAGGACAACTATGTCCAGCTTCTGGGAAACAAACTCCAGAAAGGGGATAGAGCAGAAAAGGCCAGAGCCAGGCAGCCACTTGGGTCCCAGCCTGCCGTGTAAAATAAGAGCGTGCTCCAGAACCCTGAGGTACCCCCCCCACCAGTTCCAGAACATTTATCAGCTTGAAAAGGAAGCCAATACTCAGCTGCACTGAAAGCAGGACACAAGCCCAGACTTGCAAGATGCTTTTGTACAGTTGGCTCCCATGGCAGGCATGGGACACCCCAGAAGCTTCTACAAAGTCCCTGGGATAGAAAGGAGAAAGGGTGAGATAAAACATTTTTTCTATGAGGACACCTGCTCCCACACCACTTTTCCAAGAGCAGGAAAAACTCTTGGACTGACTCTCAAGAGCGGTGGTTCAAAAGGGCAGTATTTGTGCTTTCTCACATGGTTGCGGAAACTGCAAATCTCCAAAAATTACCTGGAAAATCGTGTCAAGGAATTCTGGGATTATCGATCAAGATAGTGAGAGGATAGGATAGTCAATAGACAACGAGCAGAAACCAAGAAACAAATAACTGGGAATGTGCACAGTCTGAAAAGACGTGAACCAGAAAGTAAGGGTGTGATTTAAGATAAGCTATATAGTCCAGCAGGACTATTCTGAGAACAAAGGAGAGTAAGTACAAAACCTGGCATTCTGTAGAAGAGGCTGGGGCCAATGTGGCTGCTAGCTTTCCCTTTGAATCAGAAAGTTCTGGAGTGTTGTTTTTTTCATGGAAATGTTAAAGTCTTATTTTTGCTATTACCTCCAGGATGGTAAACAGAAGGGGACCAGGACAAATCCCTTGAGGTGAGAAGCAAATCAGGTCCAATTTGCCTTGTCCCTACATGAGCCATTTCCCTCAAACACAATGTGAGTCATGGCAGGCAATAGGTTCCCTGGCACTCCTTCACTGAGAAAGGGATTCTTGAAAAGCCTCTTCTTATTAAGCAGGAAAATGCTCAGATGGTTAAAGTAACAGGAGCAGAGTGCCCTGCGCTTTCTCCAAGCCAATCCCTGTGGCATGATGCAAAGAGGAACCAGCTGGGGTACCTTGGGAAGGGGGCAGGACCCAGGGTTCTCCCTTGCCAGCTCCTTGCTGGGTTCCTGAGAGCTTCAGCAAGTGCTCTGGGTTTGTTGGGAGATTGGGACAGGAGCCTGGGTTGCCCTCTGGCCCCTACACTTTTTGCACGGTGCTCTCACCAACGGGTGGCTTCTTTGCGCGCTTCTTCATGCGACTGCGGGCATAGACACGGAGGAAGAGTGCAATGAAAACGACCGCTACTCCCAGCCCACCCACAACAGTGACTGCATGGCCATAGATGAGACAGGAAAGGAGGATAGCAAAAGCTTGGCGTAAAGTCATAATGATGGTGAAGACGGCTGCTCCAAACTGGTTGATGGTGTAAAAAATGAACAACTGCCCAAAGGCTGAGCACACTGACAGAAGGACCGCATGGGCAGCAAACTCAGAATGGCGGGCCATAAAGCGCAGCGATTCCAGCAAGGCGCCCTGCTCCAGCAGTGAGCCCACGGTGAAGAGGCACGAAAAGACATTAACTCCAAACATCATTTGCACCGAGGACATCTTGTAAGTGAAGAGCGCATCCTGCCAGTTGGAAGTGAAACTGTCAAAGACAATGTAGCCGCCCAGGAGGATCACGCCAGAGAAGGTGGTGACAGTGGAGAGGTGCTTCTCTGGGGTGCTGGAGAGCAAGAACATGCTTACTCCAACAGAGATGAGTGCTGCCGTCAGGTACTCCCAGTATTCGTAACTCTTGCGGGACACAAGCTTGCCCATCAGCATGACTGGGATCACCTTCGAGGCTTTGGCCAGCACCTGCGTAGGAAAGCTGATGTACTTGAGTGCCTCGTACTGGCACCAGCTGCTGAGAATATTGGAGAGGGAGGCAAAGGAGTACTTGTACATGGGAGCACTGTGACGGGGCTGCTTGATCAGGGCACAGTAGAGACCGGCCACAGTGCAGGCAAGGATCCGGTTCATGAAGACCAGGAACTGGGAATCCTTGAACTTCTCTCCAGGGTCTGACTCTGTTGCTCCGTACGTTCTGGTCATTACACGTTCCTGGAGGACGCCCCATGTCAGGTAGGAGATCTTCAATGCAAAAGGGAGGAAAAGGAAAAAATCAGGAAGGCAACTACCACCTTGACACACCAAACAAGATGACAACTTGGAAAACTGAAATCACTGGGAATCATCTCTCTGTCTGTCTCTATATTTGCATCTATATCTATATCTGTGTCTTGGAAAGCTTCCCAAAAGTGCCAACTTTTTTCATGATCAGCATACCTAAGAGAAAGAGAAAGCCAAGGGCCAGACCTGATTAGACTCTTCTCTCAAAGAGGACATAACCTGATCTGTTCTGAACTTCTTCCTGCAGAGAGCTAGAATATATTCTGTGCTACGCTATGTAAGGGCACCACCTACAGTTTAAAGCTGCAGTGATCAAGTACGTATGTTTGCTTCAAGGCAGGAAGTGCCAAGGCAAACATTTTCTCAGCCCTAATAATCTGGACACCATCTAGTATCTGTTCTATGAGATGACCATCCCAGTGTACACAGTTGTATTTTTCACTGCTTTTTGAAGCTGAAAAAAAAAAAACAACAGGTGCTCAAAAATACATCCGCAAGAAGAAAGCTGGCAACAGAGCTCCTGCAGCAGCAGCAACTTGGAGTTGCTTTCTTGTTTATCGAGTTTGCTGAAAATCCTAACAGCATGAGAAATACAGGAAGTAGCATTAGTTCTGCCGTGTGAACGTGGAATGACTAGAGTCACCAAGAGATATCATGACTTGCTTGTGGTAATGCAGCACATTTGCTGAAGAGAGACACAAATGCCTGTTATTTCGGTACATTGATTTAAAAAGTCACTCTTCTTTTTTTCTTCAGTTCCCAGCCTGTTACACAGCACTTCAGGGAGAAAAAAATGCTGGCTAGCTCACCTATAGATAACCACTGGGAGAATCCAAGGGGTTGAAAATAAAATTCCACAGTGATTTCTGCAGCTGAAAGTCAGCTTTGGAATGGCAGCTGCTTAAAAAAGCTGAATTAACTACAAATATTTATCTATATTTCACAGAATCACAAGAGATCAGACAAAAAACCCATTTCCAATACATGATACTGACTGATCAGAACAATTTTTCTTCCTAAAGCATGAGAAATTTTTAACTGAGTCAAATGTTTTGGCCTCAGTTCTGTACTGTGTGAAGGATCAACCACACAATTTCCTTTTCTTGTGAGAAAGAGGCTAGAGATCTTGGCAACGAATGAGTGTTTGAGTATCTTTCCTCACAAAGATACGGATGTTGTGTACATTTTTTCCTTCCAGCTGTCTATAAGAAACAATGAAATGAAACACACAAGGTACTTTGCCATCTATTAGGAGAGGCACCCTGTTGTTAAGCACAAATACATTTAAAGAAAAATTAGTGAAGTCAAACAAAATGAAAATACTATTTTCGCAGCTCTGTCTTTGTAACAATGCAGCAAAGTCACATAAAAGCAGACTAATACAAGAGCTAATGTATATTTTGCATTTGTCCACCTGCTATTCACTGTGCTAATAAGGCTGAGCATGTGGGACAAGTGAATGCACTACGAGGATGACCACTCCCATAGGGTTTCTGTATGACAGTTTCTGAATCCTTTGGCCTCTTTTCCATAATATGCTTCTGCAGTTTTATTCAGCCTTCTTGTTGGTTTTAGATTGATGCTTTCTGCAGAGAGGTATAGAGGGATTTAAGATAGAGCCAGTTCAAGACCTGGCTCTTTAGGCAGGCCTTTCCTTCTGTCAATACTTAATTCATTGTTATCCTTAGGGTTTAAATGTTATTTATTTTATTTTATTATTCTTGTATGTTGTTAGCCGCCCAGAGTAGACTTCGGTCTAGATGGGCAGGATATCAATCAATCAATCAATCAATCAATCAATCAATCACATACATACACACACATATACATACACACACACACACACACACACACACATATATACATACATACATACAATTTTGAAAGGCTCTTCAAAGTTCTAGTGTGGTTAACATCTGTAGGCCTTATTAGTACTCAGTCCCTAAAATCAATTAATGGAAGCTATAACTCGGGAAGAGTTTTAGGTCATCAAAATCATGCTTCATTACAAACTGAAATCTGAGCCAACTGTATTCTCAGTCTCTGACACTCTGTAAGTCAGAATGTTAACAGCATGATCACAGCCTTATTTTGAGGACAAAAGGAAGGATTTCAAATATTAAATGATCATCCTCAGCATTTGACAAGCCACATAAATGTGTGCAGCACCAGTCCCAAACTCTGTTGTAGCAAGATGGAGTGAAGCTCATGGGGTCTTTACCTGTAGGCCAGTTGCACAGAACAAGAGCTTAAAGACCTGGTGGGCTGTGGAAGTCTCCGCATTCTCATTCCTAGCGGCCAACAAGACATCATCCTGGTGGCCTGATTTAGCCTCATTACCAAAGACACATGATTTGATTACAGGAAAGCAAATGCCACGGCCTAAAAGGGAGAAGAAAAGGAGCAAAATGTTAGCCACAGTTGTGAAACACATCATTGGGGTGGGGGAGAAGTTGCCTTGGTCATAACTGATTATCATCACCAACCTCTGATTGGATTTTTGATACCACTTCCAAATACTTTGTTGGACTAATTCAGACTAATTCTGCTCCTACTTCCCTCCTACCACTGCCCTGGGTTCAATCTGATTTTAGAAGTGAAACATGGTCAGACCTGGTTAGTACTTGGATGGAAGACCATTAGAATTACCACAGATCACTGGGTAGAGCAGTAAAGAAAACTGCCTGACATCCTGGAAAGGCACTGCCAATCTGAGTTGACATTGTCATAGATCACAAGCTAAATAAGAGGCAACAGTGTGATGTGGCTATAAAAAAAGGCAAATGCTATTTTAGGCTGCATTAATAGTATCCAAATCCCGTGAGGTGCTAGCCGCCCCCCCTCTATTCGGCACTGGTTAGGCCTCACCTTGAGTATTGTGTCCAGTTCTGAACACTACACTTCAAGAGGGATACTAACAAACTGGAACAAGTTCAGAGGAGGGCGACAAGGATGATCAGGGGGCTGGAAACCAAGCCTTATGAGGAAAATCTGAAAGAACTGGGAATGTTTAGCCTTGAGAAAAGAAAACTGAGGGGTGATATGATGGCACTTTTCAAATATTTGAAAGGCAGTTATAAAGAGGAGGGGCAAGGTCTCTTTTCAATCATCCCAATGGGCTCAAGTTAAAGGAAGCCAGATTTTGGTTGAATATCAGGAAAAACTTCCTAACTGTTAGAGCAGTATGAGAGTGGAACCAGTTATCTTGAGATTTGGTGAGTGCTCCAACGCAGGAGGCATTCAAGAAAAATGTAGATAATTATCTGGCATACAGGCTTTGATTGTCTTCCTGCACTGAGCAGGCGGGTGGACTTGATGGCCTTTGTAGGCCCCTTTCAACTTAACTTTTTAACTGAGCAGGCGGGTGGACTTGATGGCCTTGTAGCTCCTTTCACCTTAACTTTTTTATGATTCTATGATCCTATGACAGTTCCAGACTAAATATGCCAATGGCCTATTTCAGTATAAAGCAGCTTCCTTTGTTCCTAATAAGCCATTGCGCATTCAAAGAGGCTACATATTACTGCTACATACCAGTTTCAAGGTAATTCTGCTTCTTGAAGTACTGTATAAGCAAAAAACCTGGCACCACGATGCTTGCATAGCCAGCAGCATTGACCAAGAAACGGAACAGCCAGAAGTCTCCCCAGTAGTCCTGATGAACGGCAGATATTTCTTCATTAGCAACCACTATGGGGAGAACAAGCAGCAAAAGATCCAGGCTGAATCTGCCAAAAAGAAGAGCACAAAATAAGCAAAAAAAGGGCCAAGACAAGTTTCAAAAGCCTAATTGGCTCATAACTGTACAAATGGAGCATATGAAATGTTCTCAGCACCCATCTCCTTCCAGAAACTGAAACAGAAAATAAAACTGCCACTAACATAAGGCTTTTATATAGATCTGTCTTAGAACCTGACAAGAAATACTGTCCAATTCTGACTGCCACACCTTCAAAAGGATATTCTAGAGCTAAAAATATATACCAATGAAATTAACATGATTATGCATGGTGTGAAGAAAGTAGATGGTATAAAGCTTTATCTCTCTCTTATAGTAGAACTTCAGATTGTGTAAAGAAGCTGTGTGGTGGAAATTTGAGGAAAAATAAAAGGGAAATGCTTAGAGAAACTGCAGAATTCACTACAATGAGATACAGTGATGCTGTCACCTTGTACAGTATGGCTTTAAAACAGATCAATTTGTGGAAAAGAATATCCACAGCTTTTAATTTCCTCCTATAGAATAGAATAGAATAGAATAGAATAGAATAGAATAGAATAGAATAGAATGTGTGACGGGGAATACAAGCAGGAGGAAGATGCTACTCTACAACTAGATCCTATCTGTGGCCACCCAGTTTGCCTTCACAGGAACAGAATTCTGGATGAGACAAGCCTCCAGTTTGAGCACACAGGACTCTTCTTGTGCTCTTAATTGGCAAAATTAGAGCTATGTTTCTTTGCACAGGATTTTCAAAGCAAATCTTCTTGAGCTGCCTGAAAATTCAGGGCCAAGGGAAGCCATTCTTGTGTTTTGAACTTACCCATTTCAGATGTATTGCCTCTTTTACTTGATTTAGCAGAACACCAAGGAAAAGGACTTGTATCAAGCTCTAATTTGTCAAACATTCAGCCTTTTCATACACCCTTCCCCGGATGGAGGGAGAGATGCAAATATAATATACTGTAATAATAAACTTTGTGTTTTTATAGCTATTACCAAATACAGCAAACACATCATCTCTCCTGGTGAGTTAAATGTACTAAACAAACATACAGCAACAAAGAGAGCCGAGTTGAATATGAATACCAAAATGAGAGAGACCTTCCTATAAAGCAAACAGCTACAGGGGCAGACAGCTGCATGGGGAATTGCCATTCAAGCATTTTACAAAAAGGACAGCTCTTACCATACAGCAGCCCAAAACATTCACATATATGAGGGAACAATCATATTGGCTTTGTAGTCATGTAGGACTTCACTTGAGACATGTGAGGGCAGGAATTAAGCTCTCCCTGTGCTGTAAATGTTCTGTGGCTGTCCCCAGCAAAGGAAGGGCAGGTAAGACAATGACTCACAATGTCATCACTTGCCTTTTCATCCCATTAGCACACAGTAAGCCGACAGGGGTACAAACCAGGACATTCAGGGGTACTTGGGGGGAAAATGTAATAATGGTAGAAAAAAGGCTCACAGATCATCAGGGCAATTCAATTATTTATATCCTGAGCAGCAAGAAACCCCTCGGCTACTTCCTTCTTTCCCCACCCACCGCACGAGTGCCCAATCAATTGCCTTTCGCTTCAAGGCTATGTCTGTTCTTGTTCGGCCACTAAACCAGGGGCTTGTGCTGCCTGCTCCTTTCCTCTCGACAGCAGCTTGCACCGGACAAAATTCCGTAGATTGTAGTCCCTTTGCTGATGTGCCCATGCATGCTACCAGAGGCGATGAGGAAGCAGCTTGAAGACTAGCCCCACTTCCCTAATATGAAGGGTACAATTTCTGGAAATGGCCTGCCAAGGGCTACACAAGGGAGAAAAGGTTGGGAACCACTGCACTAGCAAAATGGAATCCACAGATTTCCAATCCCAATTTTCCCAGTACAGCTAATGTTATAAAACTTTTTTATTTGTGTTTGGAGAGAGCTTTATGCTACATGCCCACCTGTGGGACGTGGTGGCGCTGCGGGCTAAACCGCAGAAGCCTTTGTGTGCTGCAGGGTCAGAAGACCAGCAGTCGTAAGATCGAATCCACGCGACGGAGTGAGCTCCCGTCGCTTTGTCCCAGCTCCTTGCCAACCTACCAGTTCGAAAGCATGTAAATGCGAGTAGATAAATAGGTACCACTTCGGTGGGAAGGTAAACAGCGTTCCGGGTCTAAGTCGCGCTGGCCACGTGACAATGGAAACTGTCTTCAGACAAACGCTGGCTCTACGGCTTGGAAACGGGGATGAGCACCGCCCCCTAGAGTTGAACACGACTGACTAAAACGTCAATATTTATTTATTTATTTATTTATTAAATTTATACCCCACCCCTCTAGACTATGTCTACTCGGGGCGGCTTACAACATAAAATAAATTAATATAAAATATATATAATCATAAAATCAAGGGGAACCTTTACCTTTACCTTATGCTACAAGAAAAAAAGATGCAAGATAGAAAGAAATACAGAGGTTCAGGAGGAGATGGGAGTCCAGAAACAGTAACCTTAAGAGACAAACAGCTATACAGAGCAATAAGGACCCAGCCTCTGATCATCAAAACACTCAGGCAGTCACTCACCTCATTGCTACTGCATTTGCTAGACTTCAAATGTCTTGCTTACACACTTAGTAAGTTGTTTTTTGCAAGTACGAAAAGTCTGCTTTTCTCTGACAGATAGAGAAGACAGGAAATTCTCAACATACCGAATTCTACCTTTGTGCCGTTCATGTGTGACTGAACACACCCATGCTGATTAATGTTCAATCAGCCTCATCTTATGCACATCTACTCAAAAGTCTCACTGGGCAGGATCTGGAATCTGATGCTGCTGGACGGAAGAGTTCCTTCTGCAAAAGGCTTCTGATTCAACACAGGAATTCCACTGGTGGGATTGAAAAGGCAGCAATCTTTGCCAATTCCGCCCTCCTGCAATGTGGTGTAACCCGCCTTGCATAAAACTGCTCTGGAAGGCTGGGCCACCCTCCAGAATAGTGCTGGGCTGTCAAGAGAGGGGAAGAATGGTGAAGATTGCCTCCCTTTTTCTGCTTGTAACTAAAACTCCACCCTGGGGATGGTTCTGCAATTTAAAAATAAACTAGACCGAACCCAATATACAGAAAAGGGATTAACGTCACGTTTGCACAGGATTAAGGGTTATATGATTACTGAATCATAAACTGAACAAGGAAGAGGCACTCAAAATCATATTGTAAATATCTGCTGGCTACTGAAGAGCTAAGAATCTCAGAAGAGGAGCAGTTTATGCTTTATAGACTTCAACAAAGCCATTGACCATATAGATCATGAGAAACTATGACTTATTCTGAAAGAAATGGGTGTGTCCTGATGTGTAACTTGTATTGTGGACAAGAAACTACCATTATCACAGGATGTGGAGAGACAGAATGGTTTTCCTATAGGCAAAGGTGTTGGACAAGGGTGCATTTGACCCCCTTATCTATTCAGTCTGTATGCAGAACATAATGCGAAGCCAGATTCCATTCAGATGATCGAGTGAAAACTAATGGAAGAAAACCAGTCATTTAAGAATATGCAGATGACACTGTCTTACCGGCAGCAATGACCTGAAACAACTTTTAGTGAAAGTGCAAGAAGCAAGTGCCAAAGCAGGACTGCAGCTGCACAGGAAGACAAAAATCAATACTACAGAAGAACTAAGCAACTTTAGCACTTACAATGAAGGCACTGAAATAGTTAGAGATTTTGTGTACCTTGGCTTAATCATCAATCCAAATGGAGACTGCAGTCAAGAAATCAGAAGAAGGCTAAGACTAGGAAGGGGAGCAAAGAAGGAATTAGAGAAGATCATAAAGTACAAGGATGTGGGGGCGCTCACCACTTTGGTCCATGCGCTCATAGTCTCGAGATCGCAATGCGCTCTACATGGGGTTGCCTTTGAGACTGACATGGAAACTCCAGATGGTGCAGAATACGGCGGCCAGACTTCTTACAGGAGTGAAAAGCTACCAACATATTTCCCGCACTCTGGCCGCCTTGCATTGTCTGCCCATTCATTTCCATGTTGATTTCAAAGTCCTAACAATAACATACAAAGCCCTAAATGGTTTGGGACCTCGATATTTGGCAGAGTGCTTCCTCCCACCCAGTTCTGCCAGAATCACTCATTCCAGCCAGTCTGGGCAGCTGGGGGCCTAATGCCGAGGGATGTCCGGAAGGAAAGAATGAGGAACCAAGCCTTCTCGGCAGTGGCCCTTGCCTCTGGAACAACTTGCCCGTGGAGATCCGCCTGGCTCCCTCTCTAGGTGTCTTCAGAAGCAAAGTCAAGACCTGGCTATTTGGGCAGGCTTTCCCTCCTGCTGTATCTTAAATTCACATTTTACCATCTTGGATTTATAATGCATTTTTACTGGTTTAACTGTTTTTAAATTTGTAATGCCGCCCAGAGTAGACCTTTGGTCTAGATGGGCGGGGTAGAAATCCAATAAAATAAATTAAATTAAATAAAGGATGGAAGACTAAGATTATTTATGCTCTTGTATTTCCAATCACCACGTATGGGTGTGAAAGCTGGACAGTTAAGAAAGCTGACTGGAAAAAAAATAATTTGTTTGAAATGTTTGTGGATATTCTGGACTGCCAGAAAGGCAAACAAGCCTGAACTATCTCAGGAGGCAAAAATGTTGAAACTGAAGTTGTCCTACTTTGGGTACATCATAGAAGGCAGGATTCTCTGAAAAAGACAGTAATGCTGGGAAAGGTGGAAGGCAGCAGAAAAAGAAGACAACTAAATACAAGATGGGCTGATTTTCTAAAGGAAGCCACAGGTTTGAGTTTGCATGAGCTGAATAGGGCAGTTAAGGACAGGACCTTCAGGGAAATCACTCATTCATTGGGTGACCATAAATTGGAGGGAACTTGATGGCACATAACAATTATTATAGAAACCTGACGGAGCGTCCAAAGCAGAATTGAAACCCCATTTAACTTGTGACCCAGTCTGCCAACTGTTCTTCTGGCCTCCTACTTCCTACCTACTC